ATCGTCTCTGAGCAGTCGCAGGTGTGAGACATCTCGTGCTGTCATGAGCAAATAAGAACGTACCAAGGTTTACTGGTGCTTGCGCGAGTAGCTCCTCTTCCGCCTCCTGTGATACACTGCCTAAGAACGGCTTGTACCCGTGGAGCTCATCGTCCACGCTATACGTCTTGGGAATTCTCGTAGCGATTGCCTCATGCGCCCTCTTGAACTCAATGCTACACTTGACGTCAGGCCACTGGAGGCTGTCAGTGACTGACTGTTCGAAAATTGGAGTTTTCCTCCTGTAGTGAGCTTCGGCATCGTGCTTTGCGGCGAGAACAACATCAGGAGAGTGTTCAGAGCGTCGAAACCCGTGTTGTGCGACGATCCTCTTAGGATCATTGGCGCACCGCTACGATAGCCGCTTCCCCCTCAGGTGGTTGCCGTGAAAAAGCTTTGCCATCCGCATCAACCGGATTGAGGGCTCGGAGCTCTTTGATGCGTCGTTCACGAGGATGACGAAGGGCTTGTATCTCTGGTTTTCGTGGGTTGTCTTCTTGCAGCTGCACAAAGCAATCAGACAGCAGTCGATTCTAAAGAGCGCTCAGACGTACTACGTTCTAAGGTTTTTCCTAAACGCACTACCGTTGGCAAAACGGGCATGACAGCTTCAAGACATGCCTGGAAAGCGAGGTCGACTTGGGGCCCGACGCGCTCGAGAAAGCACAGGGATAGGAGGTACCGGGAAACTTAAAGGAAGGGATGTATACTCTGGCGGCTGAGATCTCTAGTTAACCAGGGCGCGATGGCATCCCGCCTGCATGGATGTATTGTGAGCACGCAAATAGGGACTCGGTACTAAGGCGGGATTTAAACTCACGTGCCAAGCTTGTCGTACGGTACATATACCTACCAGTACACTGCACTGCGACAGTTGACAGGTGTGGCAGCACGAGGCAGAGACTGGTTGCTAGCGAGGTCGCTCGTTGCGCTTGCAGGTGGTGGTTACGCAAGAGGCCAACAGACGCCCGGCGCCCACCGCTCAAAGCCTCCATATAATATTAGGTAAGCGTTACCAGTATTTGCGCGCTTCGCTTACCATCTTGGGTCAGACTCCTACTGCGTTCAAAACATACAGTACTAAGTACTGTACTACTAGTCTGATAGCCTGGTGCAATTGAACGCACTAACGACTTCGCAAAGCTCTGCCTCGATGAGCCCGAGTCCGATCTACCTGGACGACTACCTGGTGCCTGGAACCTCTTCCACGTACTACATTCCCGATTTCGTCACGGAAGATGAGGAAGAGTATCTCATCAGAAAGGTACGCCCGGATTGCTTGAGCTATTGTACTTATGGCCGCTGATGGCTGCACCTTATACCCCAGATTGCAGAGGCTCCCCAGCCATGGTGGAAGCGTCTCAACAACCGCAGGTCAGTGGCGTACCGTCCTGATCATGAGTTCTCATGGCAGGTAGAATCCTCTGAACAACTCCGGCTAGACTTCAGATCTGGGGTATGTGAGACGCTCTAGAGGCTCATGGGCCTGTGCTGAGGAAATCTTTAGGCGGCGATCTCACCAAGAAGCAAACCCTGATTCCGCAGGACATGCCTGTCTTCGTAAACCAGTAGTGAGTCGTAGGCGCAGGCTCCCAACCTGCTTTCCATGTGCTCATCCGCCCTAAGTCCTGATATTATAGGCCGCATCCGGGACCTGGGCGTGTTTAAGGCCTCTGCACATGGAGAGCCGAATCATGTCATCATGAACGAGGTGCGGGCTCGTTCTCGGTCCGCGCTAAGGGTCGGACATTTACCTTCCAAGTGCTGACCCTTTTGACTACTTTCCAGTATGCACCCGGACAAGGCATCATGGTATGCAACACATCTGCTCTGGCCGAGCCATACTTACGTCTGACCTCTCTCTAGCCCCACGAGGACGGACCAGCATACCATCCCGTAGTCGCGACCCTGTCTCTCGGCGCGCACACAATCTTCCACTACTACCAGTACAAGCAAGACAATCCGTCCAACCCAACACCGCCATCCCAACCACTTCCTCCCGCACCGGAGTCGGGGGTTGGGACGACGATGACGGGGACATCCTCCGCCACAGGGAGACCAATCGACCCTAACCCCGTCTTTACGCTCCTGCTCGAGCCCCGCAGTCTGGTCATCACCACGTCCGCGCTGTACGAGTCGCATCTGCACGGGATCGACGAGCTGCTGGAGGACGGCTTCGCGCCGGGCAGCCGCTCCCCAGGAGAGAAGATCGCCAACGTCGGCCTGCTGCGGGGGAAGGCGGAGAAGGACGCGGTCCTCAACGGCGGCTTCCTCGAGCGCGGCCTGCGGTACAGTCTCACCTGCAGAGACGTCGAGAAGGTGACCGCGGCGGGCGGGGCGCTGTTCAGGAAGCTCAGGGGCTGACAGAGTTCCGTAACGCAGCAGTGGTTGTACAACATTGTGTGTAGATCTACGGATACATGTCGCTTTCCATGCTCGAGGGATGGTTGCTCTCACATGACGCCCAAGCCGGCCTTCAGCTCCGCCTCGAGGTCCGCATTCGGAGCAGCCTCGTCTTTGCTCGCGTCGCCCCCCGCGTCCCTGCGCTCGCGCTCCTCCTTGACGCAGCGCTCGCACATGCACTTGCCGAAGCCCCACTCCATGAGCCCGCGCCTGCGCTGCTCGACCGGCTGCTCTGGGTTCACGTAGGTGATCAGGAGCTCCTCGCCCGGCGCGATCTCGCGTCTTGCGACCAGCGTTATGCGCGAGAGCGCGGTGCGCTGGTCGAGATGGCGCACGGAGACGTTGGGCGTGCACGAGTGGTTGATGTGCGAGTGGAGGACGTACAGACCTCCGTGCGCCTCGAGGTCTGGCCAGCGCATCTGATGAGCCCATGTCTGGCAGAGAGGGAGGTGCACAGGACTCACTGAGACTCATACGCCCGAGCCCGCACAGGAACGCATCGTATTCGAACAGAGTGTCGGACACCTCCTTGGGGAGGGGCTTCTTGAGCAGCTTCGTAAGCCGCTTTCTCTCTGGCTCCGTGGCGGGCTCTTGGAACGCCTGCACGTACAGCTTGTGCGCCTTCTTCCACATCGCACGGTCCGGCTCCGCACCCAGCCTGCGAGAGAGAGAGTCCGTGTTGAGGGACGGATCTGACCGATACGCAACAGACCGGACGTACCATCCGCCTTTCGCGCGCTCCTCCATGCCGAGCTGCGCCAACGCACGCACGACCTCCCAGTCCTCCGCAAACGCCTTCTCATCCTGCTCGTGCGTCAGCAGCACCCGCGCGGTGCACTGCGCGAGCGCATGAAGGGCCATCCACTCGTTCCGGCGCGCAAAGTGCAGCAGGGGTGCAGACGCGGGGTTCCGCGAGGCGCAGAGCAGGGGGTGTGTCCGGCCGGAGCGCGACAGACACAGTCGGCTGCAGAAGCGCACCGGACAAGGCGTGGACGACGTCGACGCGGAGCAGGGGACGACGAGCGGGGAGGACGTGAGCGGAGTCGAACAGTGCCCGCACGCGGCGGAGGACATCTGGAGGTCGTAGAGGTTCCTGTGATCGCGAATGTTGAGGCATGGATCCCGAACGCTTTCTCGGGGACGGGGAAGAGAGGAGAGGACTCACCATTCCGGCGCGAGGATGAAGGGGTCCTCCTTCCAGATCGCCTCTCCTTCCGCAATCTTCTCCCTCGCGACGAGTCCCTTGCCCTTCGTCTTCCCAAAGTACTGCACCTCCACCTTCGTCGTCCACTTCGCAACGTCGAAGCCCTCGATCAGGCGCGAGCTCGGGTACACTTGCCCTCCGGATCCGCTGCCAGTGCCGTTCGCGTTCTGGACCAAGCCTTCATGTTGCAAAACTTTCCGCGTGCGCTTTTCGCTGACGGTCCACTCTGGATGTGCCGCGAGCAGGAGCGCGTGGATCTTGGGGACTCCGAGCGAAGGGTTTCGGCCTTGAGGGCGAGCAACGCGCTCTTCAGATCGTCCTCTGACGGAGAGATCGCAACCGTCATTGCCTATCCTGTACGAGCTGGTTTAGAGAAGATCTGACCCTCGCGTCTCCGAACCTGTACTAGACTGCGCAGACAGAGAAGTTAATGTCTATGCGCAGCGGTGGTCGGGCTGGACAAGTAGAAATGCAATGCAATCGTGACTACGTGATTACAGCGGTGTATTAGCGAAGCGGACGCTGACAGGGCAAACATGAACGTGAACGTGAACAGGCGAAAGCCCTCCCGACAGAGCGGCCGAAGAAGACTTTCCGACGCCAGACGAAACTCCAACTGTGAAGGAAATCCGTGAGCCGCTAGGGCGGGTGAGCAAGCCAAACACGCGGCCGATTGGGAGAGGGGCGTGGGCTGCGACTGGATGTGTAGTTGGACGTTTCGCCCAGGTCCGTATGAGAGGGCAGCTGTGAGCCATGGAAAGGCATCGTGATAGAGGGAAAACCGGGAGTAACTCGGAGGGTCGGAAAAGCAGGATTGCTGCCCACGCGGGCGAGGCGAAACGTAGAGCGGTAGGGAGACTTACAATAGCGATACTGCCTCTACGTCAATACTTCCCTCAACCGCTATTAAGGAGAGTGGACCTCCAGTCGCTGCTAGAGAGCCGGGAGGCCGGCCGCGTGAGTTTGTCGACCAGAAAGTTCCGAGGGCTAGACTAAGTCACTAGCGGTGGAAAAACAAGGGAGCTGTGGGTGGGATTTTAAGTCAAGTACGACAGAGTAGAGTAGGAGCACAGAGCCCGAGCCAGCAGAGGACGACGAGAAGACGACGGCGCGAGACAAGATGTCGAGGCGCCGTCGTCCTGCGCAGAGACTTACAGCTCCGAGGCGCTCGTACCTCGCGCCGTCCGAGCGTATAGATTCAATAATGGAAGACAGGAGGATTCTGGAGGAAGAGGCAAAGCATCATGCTTACGCTGTTCCCGGTCCGTGCTGAGCTTTCGCCAAAATACTTTCCCAAGTAAGCTGAGACTGATAACAGGACGCATCGAAGCTTGACCTCGTTTTCGCAACTTCATGGACATGTCCGGGATTGAACCGGACCCCTCTCGCAAGCTGTGCTCACTACTGCAGATGCTAAGCGAGCGTAATAACCAACTACACCACATGCCCTTCGTGTGAAGATGGCGCTAGATTGTATTGTCGACGTCTGCGTACGACAACCTGGGAGATGGATAGGTGACGGTTCTCCACATATCGAATATGCGGATGCCTCTACCGGGCAGAGTCTACCTTTGAGTTATATCAGCACCGTCGCAGGCTTAAAGCCAGGTCTAATGTGGGCCGGCCATTCTCAATTAGGTCAACACAAGGAAGCAGTCAGAGCCTTAGATCTTCGACTCTTCCGCGAACGGATAGTCGATGTACCCATGTGGGTCTTCTGGAACAGCGTATACCGCCCTTTCCCAGGGAGTGAGCGGAATGTTCTTCCGCAGGCGCAGAGGAAGATCCGGCTATAATTTGCAAGAGGAGCAACGTCAGATCGAGAGCAATTCCTGAAGCAAAGGTCGGTGGATTACGTTGGAAATGAACCGACGGCCGAAGGCGATCAGCTCTCCGGTTTCTTCAGCACGCTTGATGGCTGATTCCCGAGTGTATCGCCCAGCGGACATGAATGGTCGCGGAAGCCAGATTTTGCGTAGGAAGTCATTCGACTGTCACGAATGAGCATAGTTAACATACTTCTACGGATCATCATATCAGCGTATGGAACGCACTTCTCCTGAACGAGCCTCGATATCGCTCGCGCCTGCAACACCAGGCTCGACGACGCTCAAGTACGCCAAGTCCGGGTGACGCTCGAGGGCCTTTGAGACGAGGTATGTGAAAGTTGGGACGGGATCTTCCATGCGCATGTCTGCAGGTTTCCTTGCATTCAGCCTCCTCCGTCTAACGGGGCTTATCACCGCGGCACGTACCTTGAAACGTGCTCCATGGACTGACACGGAATGCAGTCTTTTTCGCACCAATGGCTGCCACCACAGCGTCGATCACCTCCAGCGCGAACCGGCACCGGTTCTCGACGGAGCCTCCGTACTCGTCCGTGCGCTTGTTCGAGAGGTCCTGCGTGAATTGGTCGATGAGGTACCCATGCGCAGCATGGATCTCAACCCCATCACAGCCCGCACCGTGCACAGCGTTCCGTGCGGCTTGAGCGAAGGCCTCGACATATTGTTTGATCTCTATAACGATTTGCGTCAGTCTTCAAGCTTCAAGTTGCACTGAGTGTGTACGTACCTGGGATAGTGAGTGCACGAGGCACTTCAGTCTGCGACGGCCTTGTACTGAGCGGAATATCCGAGGCCGATACATAAGGAAACTCCAGGTTCTCGGCCTTCAACACTGCAGGAACAGCAGCGCGTCCGAGGGCCCATATCTGCATGTAGAGATACGAGCCCTTTGCATGCACTGCATCCGCGATCTAGATACAAGGTGACGCACGGTCAAAGGCGGTCAGCATGATGGGCATCAAGACTCACCCGTTTCCACGCTGCAGTCTGCTCCTCGTCATAAACACCTGGCGCATGAGGGGAGAAGTGTCCCGCGTACGGGGCGATGAGAGTTGCCTCGGCCACCAGGAGAGTGCCTGGGACGGAGGCACGCTGCGCATAATACGTTACGGCGAGGTCGGTATGAACGTGTTTCTTGTTTGCGCGAATGCGGGTGAGAGGGGCAAGCACGACGCGGTGGTTTAGCGTCGCGTCGCCGACTTGAACGGGCTGGAAGAGAGTAGGTACGGGTTCCGCGAGTTCTCCCATCTTTCTAGTTGTGGGTTCCCTCTACCTAAAGCCGCAAAGGGGTAGGAGGTGTCGAAGGTTGGTATCAGACAGAAGACTCGACCTTTATATGTAGCATGTCTCACCATGACGGGCCGCCCACGGATAACCTGCCTCAACCTGCCCGGGAAGACGTTATCAGACTTAGTAAGTTACGATGTGCCTGAGATATGGAATGGGTCAGTCGAAGGCAGTGTGGGATACGGGTCGGATCGGTGCACCGTACATATGGCTGAAGCTCTTTCGCGTGCGATAGCCATGTGCTTACCCGACTGCGACCGTGGAATATCGAACTGCGCGATTTCTTCACCTAGGACTCAGTGTAGTGAGTTCGTACTCTCTGCAGGCCTGACTTACCTCGGACGTACAACCTTCATCTGAGCACGCATGGGCGACACGACCCCAAACGATAATCCTTGCCGTACTCGACAGCATTGTCGCACAAAATCCTAATCATGAGTGGCGCAGCACAGTTCTTTTACTGCGTCTTCCTGTCCACATCTCGTCCATTTTGCACTATCTAAACGCTGCAAATGCCGCCACCGCAACTTCCGAAACGGGGTAATCGATGTATCCATGGGGATCCTCAGGGGTGTAGAACACGTCGCGATCCCATTCAGTCAGCGGTATGTCCTTCATAAGCCGCAGAGGGAGGTCAGGCTGCGAGCGCACCGTCAAGATCAGTAAAATATATCAACCGAAAACAAACTGTCCTCACGTTGCTCACGAACGCACGTCCGAACGCTATGAGTTGGCCAGTCTCTTCGGCGACTCGCATCGCTTTCTCCCTCGTATATCCTCCAGCACTGACGAGAGGCCGAGGAAGCCAGATCTTGCGAATGAAATCGTTCGACTATCAAATGACAATCAGTGCCAGCAATCAGGGCGGTACGTGATACTGAGGACGGTACCTCTCCTACTGCAGGGCTCATGTCCGTGCTGCCAGAAATACCAGGCTCGACGACGTGCAAGTATGCAAGGCTAGGATGGTCCTCAGCCAGCCGGCTGACGAGGTATGTGAAGGTGGGGACCGGATCAGGCATACGCATGTCTGCCACAGAGGATCTGCTCAGCCCAATGCAACATGCCATGAAGTCCCACTCACCTTGAAAGGTACTCCACGGGCTTATCCGGATGGCCGTTTTGTGCTCGCCGACTGCCTGGGTGACCGCGTTTACTACCTCCAGAGCGAATCTGCACCGATTCTCAACCGAGCCACCGTACTCGTCCGTACGCTTGTTGGATGTCTCTTGTATGAACTGGTCGACGAGGTACCCATGCGCGCCATGGATCTCTACACCATCAAATCCTGCACCGATCACAGCGTTGCGCGCCGCTTGAGCGAACGCTGCGATATAATCCTTTATCTCTGCGAGTCACTTGTCAGCGGCACCGCTACAGCAGTCAAAGCCGGGCATACCAGAAGTAATCAAAGGTCTGGGAGTCTCCTCTTTCCCCGACAGGCAAACATCCGAAGCAGAGACATACGCAAAGTCGGGATCCTGCTGCCGGATGTATTCCAATCGCGCTGCACGACCCAGCGCCCAGATCTGCATGAATATGTACGAGCCCTGTGCATGGACAGCATCTGCGACCTGCCAACCCGTATTTTAACGCACAGAAACAATGGCTCGCGCACGGTCAGCAGGCACGTACCTTCTTCCAAGCAGCTACCTGCTCCTCATTCCAAACGCCCGGCGCATTCGCAGACCGTCCCTCCGCAGCGCGCGAAACGTAGGTCGCCTCGGAGATGAGAAGGGACCCAGGGACGGACGCCCGCTGCGCGTAGTACTCCACCGCCAACTCGGTGGGGACCCCACGGCTGTTGGCTCGGCATCGCGTGAGTGGTGCGAAGACTACACGATGACCAAGAGCGATCTCCCCGACCCGTATGGACTGGAAGAGAGCGCTCGTGGTGGGCGAATGCTCCGATACTTTGTCACCCATGTCGATACAACGTGAACAGCGGGCTATGTGGGATGGACGTGATGGACGGGAGGATCTTGCGTTGTTATCTAAGTCCTGCGCTGCGCCGTGGGTGTTCATGTGTAGGAATGGTTCCCACTCGGGGTGCGCCTGCTTTGAGTAGTCAGCATGTCTATCATTAGTTCGGTGAGGGAGAGTAGGCTTACCAAGGTGAGCTCCTCCCACAGTGGATGTCTCGCACTCCCAACTACTCCCAAAGAACAATCGCATGGACGCGATAGGTCAATGAAGAAAGAGTCCGGGGTTCCAGAAAACTAACGTACCTACTTGACCTACTGCTGGATTCGACTGCGGGCAAGTTCGGATAGATGTTCATCCTGCCTGGATTACGAGGTAGTGCTGCGCTGGCAGCGGGGAATTGATACATGGAGCCCCGTAAGACACATCCACGATCCAAACTGAGCAGATATCACGATGGCAGAGGAAGCAAGCAAAACACGTCAACAATACAGGCGGGTCACTCACAACCAAAATCACGTCTGCTGCAGTCCCGGAGTCTCGTAGTCCATCGGCAGATCCTTCCGTTCCATCCAAGCCGCGTCCTCACTCCCAAGGTCTACGCCTTTCGCACAGTCCAACCGCCTGCGCGCAGGCAGCTCTTTGAGCTCGACCTTCTCCTGCTCGCCGCTGCGTACGACGACGTAGTGCTCGCCGTGCCAGCCGACGAAGTCGATCGTCGGGAGCGCGCGTGCGATGCTCCTTGCGTGCAACGTCCATTGCTCGGTTTGTAGCTGGTACTCCTTGTCCGAGAGGAGGTTGGGCTGCGGTCTCCTCCGGTTGCTGTCGAGGTGCAGCATCGTGATGGAGGGGAAGATTTTGAAGGCGGATGCGTACTCATGCTATGGTAATGCGTCAGCGGGTGGGCGTGTTCAAGGGAGGACGTACGTACGATGGGTTTATCAGACACGGCGCACTCGAGATGGAGCGCTTGCATCTCCCGCGGCACGGACTTCAGCAACGCACGCAGATTGCTCTCGCTCAGGTTCGCGATGCGTACTCTCAGCACGCGCAAGCCCGAGAGGTCCGGCAGCACACTATGCACCAAGTCCCATGGGCAGCTGCCGAGGTCAAGTCTGCGCAGCTTCGGTCGCTGGCGCAAGAATTGTACCACGGACTGGAATAGGTTCAGCTCATCATCGTGCCCGACCATGACGAATCGGAAGTCTTCCAGGTGAGGCAAGAATGTGTGCACGCCCTCAATGACGTGGTCACTCCCGAACACGACGCTCGCTGAGCACGGCTCCTCGAATGTACCGTGGAGCGTCAGGCTCTCCAGCCGATGTGCGTGGGCGATGCGTGCCAGCACGACATGGGAGATCCTCGTGTCGACGAGCTCGAGGTGAGCGAGGT